AGGAAGAAACACACATGGCACATATTTATCACTCCTGAACTTTTAAAATACTCACCTGAGGAAGTGTAAATACAAAACAAGAGATGTGAAATTGATTTTTAAACTGAGTTATATCCAAATGCTATCACTTTTAATAGTTGCATTATTAATGATGGGTTATTAGAAGAGAAATGAAGAGAAACCTACCTATACCTTTTGCATTCAGATCATTCTCTTATATGTTCTTGGTAGCATTTTTATTAGTGGCCACCTGAAGATAAAACCCATCTGTTACATCTGCTCTCTAAGTGAATGAAGGTGGGTTGGATGGGGTAGATTTCAAAGTGGAAAGAAGCTATGCTCTGGCAGGCCCAAGTCAACGATTCCATGGGAAGCAAGAGGTCAGTCTTTAGAGTACCCTCATATCGTTTCAGGAAGGCAGCCACCTACTATGCCTAGGCATCAGGCCAGCTTTGGCAGGAGATTGGATCAAGGCTATTTGCATGTCTGTTTCAGGACGTTAAGTTTTGTCTACCCATACAAGGTGAGGAAGAGATCAATGCAATCATGCAGAAAACTTAATTTAGAGGAAGAAAAAGAGAAGAAAGAAAAGACACAAGTCTTGCTTTCACTGAAGTATATTTTTTGTTAAGTGTGACAGAGTCATCTTTAGAGAAGATCCTTAGTGTTTTAGTGGCCAGTTTAGAGTATCCTTGGTATGTTTCAAGGAATAATGACAAAAACCAGACAGACATTCCACTTCATTACAAGCATAGCATTGGGTACTGTCATCTATGTGTTATGTCATTTAATCCCCACCAACTCTGCGAAATGGCATCTAAGGTCTGGCGATGTCATGTCTGGCCTAATTTCTCATGGCCAAGAATTGACAAGGTCCAGCTTTAGAATTCGAGGCCATGATTTGAAGTGTGTGGAAAGACTAAGAAATTTTAAACCGTGCTGGCAACTCTGTGTTGTAACTCTTCTATAAATAGTTCCCTGATTATTCCTAAATCCCATTGACTTGGTATAATGTAAGCTATTCAGCAATGTGATATGGATAAATATTTCCTTTTCAAAACACTGCACAAATACATGATTTCCTCCCTCTGTCCACCCTGTAGGAGAAGTAGGAAAAGAGCAAGGTAATAGGAATTTACCTCTAAGCTATAAAGCCTTCCTTTCCTTTCAGTAATCAGTGAGGGGAGCTCCTAGTTTCTAGGGAGACCATAACAGTGCAGTAGATTCAAGTACAACACTGGAGTTGCCTGGCTAGAGAATGCCAAAAAAGCAAAGGAAAATATTATTGTTACTGAAATCATTTGATGTCTATGACTAATAAAAAAACATGTTGGCAAACTGAATTTTCAGAAATGCCCAAAGGGCTTAGTTAAAGCCATGAATTAATAGCATACAGTAGTTCTGTCTGGATAAAAGAAAAAAAGACAACACCAAACCATTTTAAAATTTATCTGAATAACCAAAAGATTCCAATAGAAATCTTAAGCAACCAATCAAGGTCCTTTAATTCAACTTTTAATTGAAATTCCTTCTTCCCTTTCTTTTACAGCTAAATAACAGTGTTACATGTTTTGAGTCACATAATTCTTGAATTCTGGGGGACCCACCAGCCTTCTTGGCCTTCTTAACCAACATCTCACAAATCCCAGAATTATCTCTAAAGTGTCCCTGACAGCTGTCTTCACCTTAGAGACTTAGGAAGGCTGAGCTGTCCATTCACGCAAGTGCTGTGCCCCAGGAAGACTGGTGGCAGCTAGGGGTAGATGGAGCTGGGGCTGAGTCAGACCTCCAATTACCTCTTGACCCAGGCCCCAGAGGTTACCATGGGCCTGCCTGAAGATGTTCATCTGGATTCTGCTTGATTGTGCCCAGAGCAGGAGGCCTTTGCTAGAACATATCCTATCTTGCTATGGGTATAAGCTCTGACTGTTGGAGGGCGCTTTCTCATGCTGTGCCAAAATCTGCCTGCTCATGTTTTCTATCCCTGGTTCCACACACTATCTCTGGAACAATACTGTTTGACTCAACTTCCTCTCGTCTTGAATAGCCCTTTAGATAACTGAAGCCAACCATCAAAATTCCCTGACATATGGTCTTCTCCAAACTAAATATCCTCCATCTCTTTCTCAGATCATAAGGCAAAAATATATAGACATTATAGCAATAATAAGAGACAGAAAGTATATAATCATCATAAGAGAAAGACAAAAAGGTGGTCTGGAAATGAATTTTTTTTTAAAGAGTTGTCTTTCTAACTGGAAAACTGAAAATTTTAAGTGATTTTGAGAACTGTCTCTTTTCACTGAGTTCCTGCATGCTCGCCATCAAGCCATCCCATCAGAATGGAACTGTGGCTTGCCAAGGATTTTTCTTGTTGACACCATACCAGCTCCTAGTGATCAGCCATCAGTTCTCACTAACTTGCATTTACATTTGCTTTGTTTATTTAGGGTCAATGCCCACTTTGAGAAAAGTTTCTGGAAGTATACTTATCTGCTATGAATAGCTGTGACATAATTTCAGAATTTGAATAGCATCTATTAAGAATTAAGGGAGGGACAATGTAAGGAAACTGAATCCTTAGTTATTTCTCCTCCCCAAGTTTTACTATGCAAAATTCCAAGCATACAGAACAGTTGATGTAATTTTACAGTAAACACCCATATTCTTCATAGCTAGACACTACAATTGACACTTTGTTATCTTCAATTCATCACTTATCTATCAGTTTCTTGACCCATCCATCAACCCGTCTTACTTTCTTACACATTTAAGTGTAAACAGTGCTCATCAGTACACTGAATTCCTGACATTTGAGCATGTATATTATTCAGTTCTTTTTTGAAGCTTTTCATTAGCATGATTTTCTGAATTCCTCTTACCATTCTTTTCCTCATTCTCTCCACTTTCTTTTCTTACAGAGAAGAAAACTTCCTTTCTACACCCTTCCTCCCACTTGCCATCCCCCAAAGTCTTAAATGGTAAAAGGAAATGTGAAAAATCTGAGCATGGAACTGGTCTTGAAGCAGCCTCAGGAAAGGTCCCTCATAGGTGTGAGCTCCATAGGCCTGGGAGAGACGAGGTTCTCATGAACAAGCTGATGCAAACCAACTTACAAGAGAGGGAGGTATAGAGCAACAAGGCAACAGAATTTACTGTGAGAAACACAGCTATCAAATACTTAGGCGTTTTGTACAATACTACCTTGCTTCATCAGCTTGACTTCTCCCTGAACTAAGCTGCATAATGCACAAATTATGAAGGGTTTGGATGAACAGAGACTCAGAAAGACAGTAAGGTCTTAGTGACATGGAGCAGAGATCTTATCAGCACTTTTTAACAGCTGGCCAGCACAGTGTCCGATACCAAAAGGATGCTTCATAATTAGTGCATGCATGCGTGTGAAGTCGCTTCAGTCATGTCCGACTCTGTGTGACCCTATGAACTGTAGCCCGCCAGGCTCCTCTGCCCATGGGATTCTCCAGGCAAGAATACTGGAGTGGGCTGCCATGCCCTCCTCCAGGGGATCTTCCTGACCCAGGGATCGAACCCATGTCTCTTACATCTCCTGCATTGGCAGGCAGGTTCTTTACCACTAGTGCCATGGAGCAGAGATCTTATCAGCACTTTTTAACAGCTGGCGAGCACAGTGTCCAACACCAAGAGGATGCTTCATAATTAGTACATTATGAAATGAGCACATGAACGCTAACTACCCCTCTAGTAGAATGGCTGTGGCTCAGGGCGCCTCTCCCCTGGACAGGCTGAGTGAATGTTGCCCACGTCCGCTCTTCTAGCGCTCTTCAATGAAGTTCCAAGACCACCATTCTTCTTTGAATGATGCATTTTCTTTTATCAGTGCATATGCCATTCATTAAGCTTTCAGGAAGTCCTAATCTTGAGGTCTATGACTATCTAATCCTGTCTTTGATAAACTGATTTTATTGGCTTTACTCTCAAAACAAAGAGTGATCTCCTGCTGCTTGAGTCTACTCTTTTTAAAGATCCGGGAACACTGTCTTCCCTGATGAGCAAAAACCATTCCTCTCACTATCTCAAGATTTATATCTGATAAGAAATGTTAGCCATTTATTTTCTGGGCTTCCTAATTACCAGCCCACAAAGACTTGGCAAGGTGAACTTTTCACTGGAAGGGCAGCACCACAAAAATGCCAGCACAGCACTTTTCACAACAGATTCTCTGTAGTTGCAGAGAAATCCAATTTTGACAAATCAAATCTGTTTTGAGAACCCTGAGTGGAGTTTTCTAGTCATACACTCTCAACAGGAATCCTTTGGCTATATAACAACTTCTTAATGTAGTTCCTTCAAAGGTTTCAATGTCACAAATCAGATTATTTTATAGCAAGGAATTCCTGCCCTTGCTATTTCAATTTCTTGAAAAATATTCTTTCCCCTGACCACTTTCTCTATGTAGATACCATAGTAAATATCTATAAACATCAACATTTCATGGAAATGCTTTAGAGTTTATTTGGATGCAAACTTTAAGGTGAAAATGACAAGAGAATCAGGGCTATGACTATTTTCTGTGAGGTTACTTACAGGCCAGGAAAAAAAAAAAAACAGATGCTTTTTGGTGTTGGCACTTCAATGGTAAAATGACTGAGGAAAAAAAAAAATCAGATGCTTTTCAGTGTTGGCACTTCAATGGTAAAATACAGATGGCCAGCTAGAGTTCTTTTCTAACTGCCTCTCTATATAAGCAGCCAACACACAAGGTTCAAATCCAGATAAAAACCCTTCAGTAGGGTGAAAGATACTATGATGCAGATAGCAAACTTTTACTGTTGGTGGTTTCAATGCTCTGACAGGAGAGCATGGACCTCAAACAGGACTTGGTCTAGGTGAACACGGAGCTCTTTCTTTTAGCTGGCCTTTAAAGGCTATGTTTGTTCAGACATCATTAGTTCTTTTTCTTCCTTTGATGCATCTGTCTCTAGTGATGGAAACTCTTTTTTTTTTTTTTTTTTTTTAAGAAACTAAAGCACAAAAGGAAACTGAAAAAGCTGCAAACTGATCTGGCAACAACTAAGCAAGAGGCTGCCATCACAGTCCTGGAACTCAATGAGAAGATCAAGACTCTATGTGAAGGAAAGCCAGCCCCTAGAGGTCAGTATTACCACGTGACAGTTACACACTGGCCCCGGGCCCTGGGTGATGCATATAGCTTCACCGGCAACAAAGCAGAAAGCAAGGCCACAGTGCCAGGCAGCACACCGGGCCAGCTGCATGCTGGCCGGGCCTGATCTCCATTCTGCTTGATTAGAGGCATACAGAAACTGCGAGCTCCAGGCGGGGTGTGCTTCCGCTGTGAGAAAAGCAGGGAATGAATAAGCAGTTCCTTCAAGGAAAGTCTCTGGGGCTGAAAAATAGAGTGAAACATCTGATCAGTGTCTTGCTGGGTGGCAGTGAGGAAAATCCAGAGCCCAGAGAGGAAGACCCGAGGCTCCCAGGGGTGGGTCTCTGAAATGGGGCAAGGAGAGAGGCTTGTCTGAAAGTGTAGACAGGCTGATAGACCAAGACAGTCATGGGAAAGGAAAGAAATCTGTTTTAACAACAGGCTAACCAGCCAGAAATAAGCGGGGGAGAAGGGCTGAGGGTGAAATCTGGATGGTTCCGAAAATGTTAATAGCCACTCTGGTATGGATGTTTTAAAAAGTCTTCTCTCAGAGATGATAAACACACTTGGAGGGGGCGGGGACCCTCAGATTGTCATCATCAGCAATAATAAGAATTAACATTTGATACGACACACCAGGCATTTTGTTAAGCATTTCATGTGTGTTTAATTCTCAGAATAACCTCTGAAGCAGGTATTAGTACATTTACGGGTTCCACAAGAATAAATGCAAGCTACCTGGCCCCAGGTTAGATGTGTGGCCACCCCCGGGCAGTCACCCCAGGGTGTCTATGCAGCTTCGGGGCAGAGAGGCAATTTCTCTGCAGCAAGAGCAGATCTTACTCTGCCTGGTGGATCTCCTGCAAAACTATGGTTTCCTGGGACGAATGTCTTCCTTTGATGTGCGGCACTCTTGCAAAGCCAGGAACATGCAATTGTTCTTACTCTCACTTCCTCTATTACTCATAAATAATTATGGAAAAAGAGGAGGAATGTGGTAATAGTGGAGGAGGAGGAAGTAGGTGATGTGGTGGCTGTAGAAAGTGAGACACTCCCAGCATCCTGACCGTATGGGAAAGCGTTTAATATGAGTTTGGTTTTAATTTTCAGTTTTGAATAGCACTTTCCCTAGCTGGAAATGGCAATGTGACACCATCACCTTGAAACACATGGTTTTCTCTTTCCATGGAACAATATAGCTTAATTTGCTTTTACCACCATGAAACCTAAATGAATAAAACCCATTAGAGAATATTATCCATTTAAAAGTCTTTATTCTAAGGCATCATAGCCAGATTTCAAATCAGTTGCATGATAGAAAGCTGACAATGATTGAACAGAATGCTGGAGAAAATTTTCCTGCTCATCTGAGAGAAGTTCTTAATATCTCAACTGTACTTTGAATCTAGTGGAAAAAAGATTTTATTGCAAGTTATCTGATTCTTGTTACTCTCATTTTGACAAAAATAATGTCCTTTGCTATCTAAGGATGATTTTTTTCCTTTGATATTTTGATAAGTCAAAATTAGGATACTACTGGGTTACCAGGACTGTAACAATTGTGGGGGATGTTAGAAAACATTAAATTCTACCTTTGATTCTTTGTCCACTTTTATCTCTGTATTTCTGTCTGAAGCAGGGGAAAATTACCTGTGCAGGAGAAAACCAAAAAAACCTAAAGTATTATGAACAGATAAAAATTTAAATAAAGCCAAATATTCCAAGGTTAATTACGGATGAAAGTACTGACTCCCTATAGAACCTATGTATTGCTTCTCTTATTTGTTGGAGAAACTGGGTCAGTAGACGGACATACAGCCTGAAGACCTTAAAACGAATATTTGCACAGTCTTACTCTTCTATGGGTTCCAAACAGCCTAACCCTGTGTTCAACAGCCCAGGAAATTATTATCAAGGCTCTTGTGGCCCCAGAGTAACATGAGCTCTTACTCTCAGAGACTGTGGTCACCTTGCCCTACCTCGAAATTGATTTGAAAGTAAAGTCTGAAAAGATGTAGGTAACTTTAACACACAATGGCTCCCATTTAACCACGAACAATTAGGGTTGACCCACCTCCCACACACATTCCTTGACCAAAACACCACTCCTTCCCTGCTGTGTCTTGTGCCCTTTGATAAAATGTTTGTTTTTGGTTTTCAGACCTCTGTTTGCAAATGACAGATACCCTCAATCATAATAGCTTATGATTGGGTGATTATGAGAAAGGGTGATTTATTGGCACAAGCGCAAACAAACTAAGAAAGGGCATGCTCAGCCTTAGAGTCTCACAGATTCAGGGACTCAAATCCCATCAGGGCACTCTATGTCTCTCTACTTCTCTCTGCAGTGAGACTTTGATTTCCTCAAGAGGGAAGTCTGGAGATACTGAAAACATGGCCACAAGCAACCAAGGGCTGCCCTACTTATTTCTTCTCCAGAGAAGCAAAAAAAAAAAAAACTATTTTCCCACCAGCTTTAGTTAGGAAAAATATGAGAACGTACCTCGTCCTGGCTTGGATTGGGTACTTATTCGAGCCCATGTGTCTATCTTTGTAGCTGGAGGTGGGTATGGTTGGACAAGCTTGGTTATGCACCAACCATTGGATGAAGGGGCAGAAGGAGCTAAGGGTGGGACAGGAGGATATTGTGACTGCTGGATCCCAGAAGTCCAGGGCTGGACTGGGAGAAGACACTGGAACACTGTCTTACACGAAGGGCTAGCCTGTTGCAGGAAAGAAACATGTCCAACCTACTCTCAGTGTGATCAAGCTAAAACATAATAAAATGCTTTAAAAATCACCCATCCATGAGTATTTGCACTTTTTAAGTGGATTCTTCTTGATGAACAAAAGACCTTCATGATCCAAAGAAATTAATGTCCAGTGGTAAAACTTCAGATTCCATAACAGAGTGAACCACTTTGGGAAAGGAGACCCCTTGCAGCCTCCATCATGTGACAGCATAGTTCCAACTCTGAAGTTCAGTTTTATAGTAACAAGTGAAATTGCAAGAGGGGAGAAAGGGTTGATTCTAAATTACATGTTATCTGGATTAACACAAAGCTACTTCTCTGCTGTAGTTACAAGCCAGTGCCTACAGTTATAATGAGCAGATTAATGAGACAGATTCAAATAAATTAGAATCTCTTTCTATGCAAATGTGCACAATTTTTCAGTTTGGTTCATTTTCTAAGTAAGACTATATAAAAGGTTGCCATTCAACTCTTCTGATCAGAGGAATGCCCTAGAATACTAGGGATACTTTTAAGCATGTTCAAATTCATGGAGCAGTGAGCTACCAAACATTTTTTTTTTTAACACATAAACACATAAAATGATTTCACTGGCTTCATACTTAAATAACCTCCAAGGAAATAAATGATTTAAGTCAATGGAAAGTTCAACTGAAAAGAAAAACACCTTTATTACAAAACTGGCACAGCAGGAAACTTACTTACAGTTTGAGTGTTGTTTGTTGATTTTTACTTTGTGCAAATAATCACAGCCCAGGGCTGATTCCTTGCCTCTTTTCCACAGCTGGCACCTGAAGTGCTTGTAGTTTAATTTACTCACAGAATTTAGTGAAACGCCTATTGTACCCATTCAAAGCTTGAGTCCATCTTTTGGTAAACATTAGTATGCAGGAATCTAAGGCTACATTTCAAAACAATCTGCTTCCTTTGGTTTTGGAGCAGAAAATTGCTTTGTAAAGGACCTGAGTGAGTTGAGCCCTGGCACGTAAGTATCAAGTCACCTGCTATGATGAAAGCTTGAATCCTTGACCAGAACATTCAGGACCTGATTTGTAGATTTCAAGCTAGCACACTAAAGGGAATGCACTCCTCTGGGTTTTTTTCCCTTTTAATTCTTTTCTCTTAATATGCACAGCTGGTATATCAAATAATGTATGTCTCATTCCCACTGGCAAGTTCCCAATGTCCCACTGAAAGCCGTGTCAACTTTAAGTCATTTCTTGGTTTTATTCTCATTAAGAAGACACTGCCCCAAACCAAACATCATATATTAATGCATATATGTGGAATCTAGAAAATTGGTATAGGTGATCTTATTTGCAAAACAGAAATAGAGACACAGACGTGGAGAACAAATGTACGGACACCAAAAAGGAAGTGTGAGGGTGGTAGGATGAATTGGGATATTTGGATTGACATATATACACTATGTATAATTTGGACTGACATATATACACTATGTATAAAACTATGTATAAAACTGAGAACCTGCTCTATAGCTCAGGGAACTCTCCTCACTGCTCTGTGGTGTCCTAATGGGAAATAAATGCAAAAAGAGAGGGGATATATGTATACGTATAGCTGATTCACTTTGCTGTACTGTAGAAATTAACACAACATTGTAAGACAACTATACTGCAATACAAATGAATTAATAAGAAAAGAACAAGTCAAACAAGAAGACGATGACACTCCCAGGTAGTACAGGTATATCCCAGGGCAAGCTTATCGAGGACTCAGCGTCTAAACAGAGCCAGACACTTTTGAGGGAGCCTGGTCACAGGATTGACTTTTCGGTGACATAAAATTACTTTTAAACACTATCTCATTAATTTTAAGAATAGGGCTCGCTGTCCTATACCATCGTCAAAGTCAGGAGATACATCTCTTTGACAAAACCCCAGAGCCAACTCTAACCAGCATTCTAAAGAGTATCTTTTATCTTGATGTCCATCCCCAGGCACACAACCCAAACCCCCTCTCCTTTTTATTACTCCTTTTCCAAACCTTCTTGGGAGAAAAACTCCTATTGCAACTAGATTTTAAGAAAAATGGGATTTGAGGGTAATAAAAATGTTCTGGAATAAGGTAATGACAATGCTTGCACAACACTGTCAATATAGGAGGACCATGGAATTGTACACTTTAAAATGGTTAGCATGGTGAACTTTATGTTATGAGAATTTTATCTCAGTTAGAAAAAAACATAGCGATTAAAAGAATCCTTGCAAAGATGT